AGGGAAAAGAGATTTAAGTGGGTTTTGCTTTGATGGTATTTCCAAAGTGGCTGAATCAATCAGGGCTGAAAGTGAGGCAAACCCTCAGTTTATTAGCCATGTAGGTAGATCTTCAGTGTGAGTTTTTCCTCAGCAAGGCATTCTTGAGTATGTGATGGGAGAAAATGTATGCATTTGCTTTGACCTTAGGCTTGGGCAAGTTTTTTGAGGAGAGGGGGCTTCCTGCCAGCAAGGCAATGGGCATGCAGTTGGTGGGAGGTCTAAGAAAATCCCTCAGACTAACTTGTGTCTCTGTTGTACAACTGAAATATTAAGTGTATTTTCTTTATCTGCTATAAAGCATGCATTCATGACTATGATTGACAAAAGAAGCTGATAAGAGTTGGGTTCTGTTATGGTATTCATCTTATTCCACAACACACGTGACCGCACTGGTACCTGCAGCATGCTGGAGCTATTACAGGGCCTTATCTGCAAGGAGGTGTAGAGAGAAGTTGACCTATGTGAGTAATCCCATGGGCTTTTTGCCTTGTCCCTCTTCTCCAAACCCATGGATACTGTACACGGAACAAGGTTATGAATACGTATTGGTTAAGGTCGTAATTGTTGTAATGTTTGTAGATTCAGCATGGTTGCCTCCGTGTGTATAAACTGAAACGCAAACACAGAAGAGAGAGAGTGTTATTTAGCACTAGTGTGGGTACTTGGTTCTCTTTATCTCCTTTTGCAAAGACTGTGCAAATGCAGTTGGTTTTGTTGAACATTGTTTGGGAAGAGGAGTCACACCTGCAAGAGAATAAGTTTATTTACAGTACCAAAATGCATAGATGTGATTTCATTTTGTATTGAAAAATGCTGTGTATTTCTTGAAGACATAATTATTTCTTACCTAACTAAATACCTTGAAAACATTCCTCTTTTGATTTTGAATCTCTGCAGAGTAATGTAAATTTTAAGTGTCTGTTTGGAATGGACATTCTTGGTACAACTATTTTTTGCTGGTTAATAATCAGACCAAAGATTAAACTAAAGTATTCAGCTGCTATTGTTTTATATTTTAAAAAAAAGTATTTAGGCTCAAAGTGTCAGCCCATTTTAATGAAACATTTCCTATTTAATATCAAAATACATTTGCACTTTTATTGTTTCCATAAAAAGTTGATGGTTTTGTTTTAATATTTCAGTGTAGAAATAAACAGCTCTTTTAAAGCATCTATGTCTCAAGATTTAAATTCCTTGTTATCTTTTTTTAGTAAAAGCTGCCTGCAGCCACAAAACTCTGATCAGCAGGCGTGTGTGCTCTTTAGGAGAAGACTACTAAAGTGGCAAAACCATGGAAAAGCAGGAAGTCCACGCCTTGGGAGTTGTGCAGAGGGATACAGGAGGAGAGCCAGGAGGGAGACTAGAGCACGGCTGGCACCATCTGTGGTGTTGCTGACTTCGAAATGGAGCCCCTTGGGGTTTGTGGCTGTCTTGCTCAGAGGTTAAGAAGGATTCAGTTCTTGTTTCCCTGGCTCCAGTTTCAGGTCACTGTATAAAATCTGTGTTTTTCTGGTGCTTAATGAAGAGCTAGGACTTCATTTCACAGTATCTGTGTGAGCTTTTCAGCGTGGCATGTACAGACACGTCTCTGTTCCAAACCGTGTAGGTC